CGATTTTCATTTTTTATAACTTCTATTGTTACCCTTTATCTCTAAAATAAGACATAAGTTATGTTTTTAACATATGTAGTTACCGAGATAAAGAGGATCTCCCATACAACGTTTTTTGTGGCGTTTTGGCGTGTGCATCAAATTCCTTCCTGAGACCCCAATGGGAGGAACGTATTCCTAAGTTAAAAAGGAAATAAACTAGCTGCTTTCCCATGAAAATTGTTTTCATAACTATCTTAATGACTATGATGCATGTGTAGGTTTCAGAGTTGAAGTGAACCAAGTCCATGAGATTCAATTCCAGAAAAACATACTGATTTTTCAAAAATGACCAAGCTGTTTAGCAGCTTTCAAAATAACACTGGTGAATACTAATCGAACTTTTTCTTGATTATGGGACACCTCGCCCCTGGTCCCGGAGACGAGTCCATTGTCAGGATAGTGCTGAGGACCCGTGAAATGTTCTCCTACTATTTTTTCTTTATATATATACATATATACACTTTCTCGTACATCGATGCTTCCATCCGGAGGGTCACCAAAATGTGCAAGGCACTTTAGATGACGTGCTTTCATGCTGCCGCAGACTTGGTCGGCTCTAAATTCTAACAGAAATTGACAAGAGAAAAAAAACAGGACTAAACCTGTGGAACGAGGTTATTAACCTCCTGATAAATAGAATGAAGGAGACCTAAATTTTCCTCTCTGTTTAAAATTGTGGACAGATTGTCTTTATCATAAATTAGTTTTTTTTGCATACTTTTCCGTGAATGGGCAATTCACTACGTAGTGTAAAGTATCTCCCACGGCGCCACAAGGGCATTTGATGTTCAAGCTCCTCCCAAAACGTACAAAGTACGCTGGGAATCTACACTAATCGAACTAAGAACTGGAATCATTACTACATAGAAAATTCTGCAAATACCGAGCTTTGCAATCGTGGAAGTAAATTGCACCAGTGTAAAATTTTTGTGAAAAGAGCGATAGAGATAATCTGTATGCAAAATCTATTTCACACAAGCTTATCAGGAGTAAATATTATCTTAATTTATATAAAATGTAAATGAGAGTGTACTTATCTCGAAAGGCAATGATGAAACGACTCGCTGTCTGACGTTGAAATCGTTTCATTTTCTTGACGACATTGAAATTATGTTAGACATAGGATACCATGCGCTCATCAAGCACTACAAACCCATCAATACATTTATATAATAGTTGGGCCTCAATTTGCAGGTGTTCACCCCTCTAAAATATCTAACCGTGCCCTGTGCTCGGAAAAGGTTGGCACCTTATGTTAGAGTGACGCAGAGTGAACATGAGTTCTCTTTTTCCATCTCCTTAAATGTGTACCTGTCTCAATGAGACCAGGCCACTTGAGATCTTGCTTACGAGTCCAACTTTGTCCTAAAAAAATGGGTGACACCCTACGCTGGAACGTCCCTGAGGGAACTGACTTTCTAGCTTAAAGCAAGAAGTCAACTTACCAGAAAGGTTAAATGTTGAAGGAGGGTCGTCCCCCTTCCGTCCAGGCCCTCACAGGGTTCATTGAACCGACCTCTCTTACTTTCTTGTGGGGAAGTTCGCAACAAACTGATTAGGGGTACGGGATTTAGCTAGTTTCTTTACAACATTGATTAGTGTTTTTCACTCCTTAAGACTGTTACAAAAATCATTCTGTGGGTGTATATTGTAAAAAGTCAAACTCACAGAATAATGGAGAATGAAGGTTTATTCACAAATATGCAGGAAAACACGTAGCACAGGTAACAGGAAACAATAGATCTTGCACAGATTAGCAACGTAAACAGACAACAATTCACAGGTAATAACAGTTCAGAACTTTGAGATTTCGCAACACAAACAGTCAGCAGATCACTAATAACGACAATAACAGCACTTTCAATAGCGCTTAGCTCACCAGCTTTTTAGCTCGCACTGCAGACAAAACTCCAAAGTCGTTCCAATCGATGAATACTCTCCTCTCTGATCCAAGCGCGACCCTTATATACTCTGCCCGACAGGCCGTGACGTCACATGGAGTTTTCTCGTACATTCAAGGGTATTTTCTTTCCTAATAGAGATATCGAGAAAAGGGTCGCATTTTCTGGAATCAGCAATTTGTCGCCAAGGTCGCCAAATTTGTCACCAAAATGGTCGCCAAGGTTTGGGTTCGAGGTCCGGCCATCCCATACTTACCCCTGTAAAACTCTCTTCCCAAATATAGGACTAGTGGGGCAGGAAAGCGACATTACACTTTTGCAACAATACCAATCATTCAAAAGGTTACAGAAAGAAGAAAGTATTAAGCGAGCTTTTCAGTGAAAATTTTAGTGCTGAAAAATCTGGGTCTGGTGAAGAAAGTATGACTTTCCTAAAGGCAAGTGCATTTAAATGTGAAAGATAATTAACATAGCTTTCATTTTTTTGCTTTGGATGCCAATCATATTTGTTAGTTAAATTACAATTATTTTTTTCTGAATTGGGTAACTTTAGGGTTACCATACTTTTTAAATTGAAATCCGGACACGAAGGGTTGTGTGTTTGGGGGGGGAGGGACAAAGTGTAGTAAGAAATTCTAAAAGCTGCCTACCAACCACCCTCTTTCATAGCACTAGCACGGAATTTGAAGTGAAAAAAAACTTACGACATCAGAATACAAAGAAGATATAATATTTACTAATATTTGGTAATTCAAAATTATATTAACACGAAGCAAAATTTAAACAAACTGAAGAGTTTGTTACAAAACAAAGCAACTTCATGAAGAAAACTGGAAGTTCTCTGGATTTCTTCAATGAGAAGGAAACGGTCAATGCGAGAAAATTAATTCAAAAAGGGGAACATTGAAAACCCCTGGTTATCTCAAAACAGAAGGAAAAAACTGTCGCAAAGTGTAATCCAGTTAAGTAAATTCGGTTTTCCTGTCATTAATATAGATCATAAAATGATAAAAAAAAAAGTTTAATTTTGCTAATAAAGGTTAGTGATAAATCGATACATATATTAATAATACAGTCGGCAAATAATAGAAAAGATTAATAGAAGATTTCTAAAACGAAATCCCGATTTGACCGGATACAATAGCGTATAATTGTTTAATACAAAAAGTTATTTATGAAAATAATTTTTTTATATATTTCCATCAAGGTTATGAAGAAATATATCAAACATTGCACACATTGCTTTTGTTATAGATATAATAATAAAACTATCCAGTGGAAAGAATCCTCAGCACCATTTACACAAAAATTTCATTATCATTCAATGAAATTTTTCAAAGAGGGCGATATAGTTGTCCCGTAATCCATCTGTGTTCTAAAGTATTACATTCAGGGGGCACCAGGGTTTTAACCAGGGACCTCTTTATCTACAGTCGAGTGACCTAAAAACTGAGCTATACCCCACTCGTCACTCGAATCCGAGATAAAGTCTTTATATCAAAATCTTTATACAAGTTTATAAATACTTACTAATTTGTGATAATTTTTATCATTCAATGATATTTAGTCAAAGAGGGCGATATATTTATCCCGCACTCCACCTGTGTTCCAAAGGATTACACTCAGGGGCACATGGGGACCGCTGGATCTGCAATCGAATGCTCTACCACTGAGCTATACCCCCGTTCCTCTCTCTACTCCGAGATAAAATTTTTAACATTCAATTATATTTTTTAAAGAGGGCGATATTGATGTCCCGCAATCCACTTGTGTTCAAAAGTATTACATTCAAGGAAGCACTCGGGTTTCATCCGGGGACCTATCGATCTGCAGTCGAGTGATCACCGCTGAGATATAACCCCGCTTGTCTGTATTCTCAGAGATAAATTCTTTACTTTTACTTACAAACTAAACATAATTTTTATCAATCAATGATATTTTT